CTGTACCTTCCTTGCTCGCCTACGGCGTACGCTATAGGCCACATAAAATATGTTTTACTAAGTGTAAGGCAATTTCGTCTCGAAATCTCGACGAAATCTCGTTTCTGCAGGGCACAAGTTGGACAGGACAATAGCGAACGGCCACTTGGAAGGGTGTAAATTGTCCCTGCATAAGAGTTAGCGAAATAGGATCTGGATGAGGTACGCCGCTACCGTAGCAGGTCTTGCAATTGTGCGAGTACAATGCGCGGTTTTCCAGGCACATGCACGATGGCCGCGCCGATGGTTTCCTGGAGCACGTCATGTTCAACCGCGAATGCGAGGGTCGTCTGCCCAAAGATCAACACCCTCATGATGGCTTTCCATATATCAGAAGATTCCTGAATCCTCACCTTGACATAATCCCTCGCCGCGCTCACGATCGCCTCCTCCACCTCAAACGGCGAAGTCACCTCCCCACCGCGGTTTATGATCTCCTTCGCGCGCCCGGTGATATACAGATACCCATCCCCGTCCATGTATCCGGCGTCTCCTCAATTGAACCACCCGGAGCGCGTGAACTCGGACGTGTCGAGCGGGACGCTGACGTCGGGTGATACCTCGTAGCCCTGGAACATCGGGAGCCCGCGCACGCTGATAGCTCGTCGTATCCGCGGTCGTTTTCCAGGTTGGCTGGGTCGCGAATGGAGAGATGGGGCCGGCATGCGATGCCGGAGCATCCGGGACGGTCGAGCTGGTAGGCGGTAGGCGGGGAGGCGATGGGCATGCATCTGCAGAGAGAGATCTAGAGATTATTTATCTATTCAAGAGAGCAATTTGATAAACGTAACAACGTACTTGGTCATCCCATACCAGCCTGGCATGTATTCTGCAGATCGCTTGCCAGTGAAGGGAGCAATTCGCCAGCCGCGTTGCAGACCATCCGGATCTTGAGATTATTTGCTGGCACAATTGCCTCGGGCTTGGAACTCAGGATGGCATGGTGGATGGTTGGGGCCGCGTAGAACCTGCCATCAAGAGGTTAAGAGAAAAAATCGACCGAAGGGTGAAAGGAATAAACACACCAAGTCGCGTTCAACCGCTCCGCCAATGCCCAAAAAACAGTGGCGTCGAATTCAGCGCACATGATTGTGCTTCCCCCAGAAAAGATGGGCTGCGCGCAATTAATTGGGGCTCAGGGAAATAAATTTCGAGGACGTATCGCGAGACAGTCACGGACGATTCCGACGACGTGAAAGAGCGGCATAATGTTGACTGCACTATATGGTTCAATGCCGCTCACAGAGTTGACTCGACTCACGATTAACATCCGTCGGCCGCAGATGCCAAGACTCGACGACCGTCCCGACAATGAGGGGCAGCAGCGTATACGGAACGGCCTTCTTCTTCCCACCTGTCCCGGACGTCTGCAAGATCAAAGACCGGTCGTGCAATCCATTCAACTTCAACGGCGCTTCCGATACTTGGGCACCCTGGCACCCCATCACACTCATCTCAAACATCCCACACGCGCCCTCAGCTGGGGCACGATAAACACGACGTCGCACTCTAGCTCGGCGCTCAGCGCCGCGAGCTCAAGGCGAGCCTCTGCATCGCGCATCGTAACAACTGCCTTGGCGCCAAGCCGCCGTGTATCGTCGAGCAGCTCTGCCGCGGTGCAGCTTGCGTTGACGGGTGCGCAGGCGTGGTAGCTCGCCTCGGCGAGAAGTACTAGCGCGTTTTCGGGTCCTGTCAGCAGAACGACGATGACCCGGTCATTAGGGCCCAGCGCTGTTTGAGCGCTGTCCTCAGCGGCGAGTGTGGCAGCGCGAAGTTCAGAACGAAGCTTTTGAGGTCAGGGTGCTTGAGCGCGTGCCGGAGGAGATCGAGAGAGTAGATTTCAGAGGTGGGAGTGCAGGGAAGGCAGTCGAGGAGTGTTTTCACGTCCGACTTATTGAGTCTCCGAAGGAAGAAGAAGCCGTAGGTGTCTCAAGGGAGCGCAAGAAAGCAAGGGCGACGGACATAATACGAATGAGGAGCCATGCGAGTGGGTAAGAATGTGATTAAGAAGAGTATGCGCCAGCTTCAACGGCCGCCTTGATGGGTCAAGTGGGCCAGCGAGATAATCAATCAGCGGAATTGTATCGCGAGTTGGAGCGGCAGCTACAGCAAGACTGAAAGTAGGCCAATAGTCCAGCTCGGAGAAAAGATGCAAGGTTTGAAAGACAAGTATTCCCCGAACTGCAACCATATAGGGAGTGGATTAGGAGTGGCAAGGAAAATCAAAGGAAAATCCGAAAATACGGCAGGATGTCTGAGACTTTCGAGAGAGCAAGCACCAGAGACAGCATCGACAGTTGAGCAAGAAGGAGCCATCCATCAAAATTCATATGATAATGTTGGGCCCACAAGTGGTGCGGTACAAGTGATGTGGTGTGGTAGGAAGCAACGACGCGCGTCGTCGCGTGTGGTTATGCTTGGATCAAATGCCTTCGGTCCGGAGGTGTTCTTTTTTTGGAAGATTTTAAATACGATAAGATAAGACAGACACAGCCACTCCGAAGCACCCACATAGCTATAGGAGTAATTGATGGAAGGTTTTTTTTTATCATCGCCTTTTTGAATGGCCTGTTGACGAAAATGACCTTACCACTAGGCACGTATTCCAAGCAACTCTCGACTTCATCCGGGAGGGTCGAATGGTTTCGAGAACCCCCAAAGAAAAGAAATTGAAGGTGAGATGTCAAATTTTCTCACTAGAGCTTATTCGCAAACGGTATAGATACTTTTGTATCAACGCTGATTGGCTGAGAATTGTGGTGCAGCCAATCAGCACCACAATTCTCAGCCAATCAGCGTCGATATACGTTGATACAAAATTGTTTTGCATCGTTTGCGAATAAGCTCTAATTCCTAATTCCAGTGGATAGACAAAATATAGGGAAGCCATGCGTCATTCGAGGGGCATTTGGGTGAGTAACACAGCCGTCTGAATTATGGAGTGGTTTAGCGGAGGAATTCGAATATAAACGACAGAGGGGCGGCTCTTCAGGCGAAAATCAACAATGAAAAGGTGGGCACTCAAGCCAGACTTTAATTCGTGTCTCTACAGTGTGACATCAAATCTATGGCATAACTCTACAACCATGCCATCATATACTGATTCGCTGCTTTGGGCGTACATCCCAGCTTCTTCGCTGCAGACAACACCCAGTCTGGGTTCCTCAACAGCTCTCGGGCCAAAAAGATCACATCTGCTTTCCCATCCGCGAGGTACGACTCCGCTACTTCCACATCAGTGATATTCCCAACCGCGCCGACGACGAGTTCAGGATGCGCTTTTTTGAAAGCCTCGGAAAATGGCACCTGACGAAATTCAGCAGGTTAGTGTCGCGTACCAGTGTCTGCATTGTATAATGTATCTCATACCTGGAAGCCAGGCCCGTCTTGGAACCAGACCTGTTTCGACCACGTTCCACCCGAACTCGCATCGAGGAGGTCGATGACCCCTACGCTGACCATTCTGTCAAGCCAAACTTTGCTCTGCTCCATCCCCCATTGCAGCCAGGTTCCGTCTTCGGCCTTCTCGGGCCCGGGCATACAATCGGTTGAACTGATGCGCACAAATAGCGGCTTGTCCGCCCATACTGCGCGCATCCGCTCCAGGACGCGCGTTGGGAATCGCATGCGGTTCTCCAGGGAACCGCCGTACTGGTCGGTACGGGTGTTCGACACCGGGGAAAGGAAGGAGTGGATGAGGTAGCCGTGCGCGCCATGGAGCTCTATGAAGTCGACTGCCCCGCTCATTAGTTACAATGGATCTTCGCCACGGTGAAAATAAAACACACACATCCGATTTGTTTACAGCGCTCTGCAGCTGCCGCGAATGCGTCCTCGACACGCTTCATGTCGTCTTCCGACATCTCCTTGGGATGGGGAAAGCTGTCCGAGAACGGCGTGGCGGTTGGACCATACACTGCATGCACACAGTCAGAATATATGCCGATGGGGCAAAATGCCACAATACCGTTGTTAGGCCACCCATTTTCATTGAGCCATAGTACTAATATATAGACTAAAACACACGGTTGTAGCCGTGGGATATACAACCTAATGCCACAGACCTAGCCGTGTGGACGGCTAGGTCCGTAAAAAAGGCTCCTGGCTCCTTTGCGTGATCTAGGGGGGTTCCATTGTCTTTACCTCTATTTGCGGTTTGATGAGAGGCTGAGATAAATGTAATTAATTGGCGCTTTCCAATCAATTTGGGTTTTGGTGCAGATCACCCCGTATTCCCACCCTCCTGTATCCCAATTTGCGCATTGCACCCGTCCAGAATCGATTCCTCGGCAATCCAGTATTTGTTCACACGCCTGCACGCGCCTTCAGCACGTGATCGATTCCACCGCCAGAATAATTCGCTCCGGGGCACCCAAATACCCCCAGAAAAATACCACCTCCGGGGAGAGGGTAGAATACATTAACCCGCCGCTATCAGCCTACACGCGCCCGCCACCTGGGTCCCCTCCGCGTCATGCGCCGCTGTCCAACCTTGGCAGTGAATTGCGACCAGCCCCCCCAAAATGGGGTTTAAAAGTACAGCACCTCAGAAGATAATAATACACACCTCTGCGCTCTCTTTGAATGATACGCGCCGCCTCCCCGACCCCACGACGCCCCGTGCGCCCCGCTACAAATCTGGCACGGAATTCCTGTTTGCGGCCTGGAAAACCGAAATTAAATTGCATATCAGTGAAAATAATATATTCCATACCCCTCCGCACATCCTACGCACAGCGCGTCCGTCGTACGTGTCCAATACACGCGCCCAGCTGCTGCCCTCCCGCCGTCCGACACGGTCACGTGATCGTTCAACCCCAGGACCAAAAAAGAAAAAGAGAGAGAAAGAGAAAGGAATTCAGTTTAAATACATATCAAGAGTTTGAATATTTACTTCCATGACCTAGCTCTACGTACTTTGGTCTCTGTATATATCACTGAGCTGTTTGAACATCTTTTTAAGCTTGATGGCTCAGTGGTGAGCGCGTACTAAACATACGCTCTCTTTCCATATGTTTACGTACGACGCGTGAGTTCGATTCTCACTCAAGCTATTACACCGCGGAATATATCGATGCATATTCCGCGGTATGTTCCGCGTGGCAATTTGTTTTTTTTCCAAGTCCAAAATAAATGTCTTGTCATGACGCGGATGTTATGACGTACCTGAGACCATTTACAACGGCCTGATGGCTCAGTGGTAGGGTGCGCACAGAAATTCCCCGTCTCTACCATATGTCGGTGCGAGGTGTGAGTTCGACTCTCACTCAGGCCATCTTTTATTATTTTTTTATTCGTGTAATATCATTCCAAGTCCGCGAGAGAGAAAAAAAATGTAGTTGCAGGTACCAGGATAAGTACCTGCAACTTCATGAACTAGGCGAGAATCGAACTCACGCCTCCAGAATACTCCGTTACATTTCGCCAACGTTGTTCTGGCGCTCTTACCACCGAGCTCCAAGTCCTTTCCCCAAATCTTTCAAAGGCCAGGTAATAAGAGGAAAGAAGGTGCATTCGCAAGTATAGTACAACGGAGCTCAAAATTTACGCTTAAACATCTCGTAATATATCGCAAGTCCCTCCATCATCCAAACTACGTCGTTCACCGCTGCGTCCCACGGTACGCGCAAAGCATTGTCGTCGACGACGGCGCAGCCCCAGAAATACAGGGACGCTAGTATGCTGAGCGTGCCGTTGACACCCCATCGGTACAGGGGGCCCCACTCCTTCCCGTCTGGTCCATACGTGCCCTCGGCGACCCACTCACCATCCGCTCCGCGAACGCGCCACTTCGGCTGCAGCGTAGCCCACCACACCTTCCACTGTTGCTCGTATTGGGCCGGGTCCATCACTCGAGTTTTTTCTTCGTCCCCCCGTTTCCCCCGCAGGTTTTTGATCCACTCTGAGACTTGGGTCGGTCGTTTTTTGTTAGCGAGATTTGATGGGGAATGCTCGAAGCGCGACGCGTACTCCACCCGAGTCCACGCCGACAGCAATCCCTCAAAATGCGGCCCCAGTGCCACCTTCATCATCTCCGCGCGCGCCTCCACAAACCAATCTGCTGCCCCGGCTGGGCAGGGAACTAGGTTGCTCGAGGAGGAGCCCGTTGGAGCTGGGCTTGACGCGGTTGTCATGGTGACAATCGTCGATGGACTCCTCGGCGGCGGAGGCACGACTGATGACAAAGTGGGGGGTGCTGAGGAAGACGGGCTCGATGCCGACGGCACAATGGGAGCAGGTGGTGCCAAGAACGAAGGCGCAGACAAACTCGCAGCCGCTGGTGTCGAAGACGAAGGCGCGGCCGGTGCAGATGGCAGTATTGGCGAGGAAGAATCTGGCGGTGACGTGGATGTAGACAGGGCTGGCGCAGACGAAGCCGTGGGACCCGGTGGTGGCGAATACGACGTTGGGGACGGCGTGGACGGGGTCGATGTCGATGACGAAGCCGTGGGACGCGGCGGTGGCGAAGACGAAGTTGAGGATGGTGAGGATGTAGTAGGAATCGGCGGGGGTGATGAGGTCGATGCCGGGGCTGCAGCTGCCGTGTGCCTCGCCGATGTACGGGTCGCGAGTACGGTGCCCTTTTTTGCCCTGGGCTTCCTTACGGGGGGTGTTTTCTTAGGGGGGCGGTCCTTCTCCTGCTCAGCGTCCAATGCAGCCATCTCTGCTCGGCGCTGAGCTATGTTGCGCTCTCGGTACTGGTCGAATGTGAGCCCGTCCGCGTAGATTACAGGCCCGGCGGCAGTCGACGCGCTCGCCACCGGTCCTGTGGCAGTGTTGCGCTTCTTCCGCGCACGCTTGGCCCCCTCCTCGTCGGAGTCGGAGTCCGAGTCGTCCTCGTCCTCATCCTCCGACGAGGACGACTCGTCATCGGACTCTGGTTTCGCCACCGCGCTGTCTCCAATCTTGTACTTGGCTGCGGAGAGGTCGACGCCAGGGCCTAGCGCAGCGGCAGCAGAGTCTGTCGCGTCTGTTCACGTCGTTAGGCAAAATTGATACATTTGATCTTCTTCACGCACCGTACGCTGTATGTAGATATTCGGTGAAAAAAGATGAGACTCCCTCCCAGCGTTTTTTGTCCCATTGAGGCCAATGCACGGGTAACCCGGCCTTGTTGCGTCCGTACGATGTGCTAATCAAACAAGAATCAGCGTCACATAGTGGAATACATAGAAAAAGAGAATGTACCTCACTGTCCGCAGAGCTCCGTCATATTTCGGCACAGGACCCCCCATAATGAGTGTCGACTGCAGCCCTGTGTACTCGAAAAGGCCGCGCAGGATTGGGCCGACAAACTCGGCTACGGCATCGATGCATCTTCAGAATCTTTCAGTTTCGGGTGACGATAGGGCCGTCTCACACAACTCACCGTTGACGATCTTCAGGAGCTTGAGACGGTGGTCTCTCCATACTTGCTTTGTACGCGGCCTTCGCTTCCGCAGCCTCCTTCTTTGCTGTCGCTGCAAGATCCTGTCGCTCGCCTGCGGAGAGAGCGTTGAAGAGCTCGCGCGACACTGCAGACGTGAATCCCATCTTCGGGCTCTTCCCCTGTTTTCCACCTTCAAGATCCTGCTGCTCCTGCCACCTTTTGGCCACCTCTGGTGCAATCTTGTCCCAAGAGTCGTGCATGAATTGTTGGTAAGCCTGTCTTGCTTTTGGCGGTGCCGTCAAGCCACTCAGTTTTGAAAGTAACACAGCGAAGGGGTTCTTCGTTGGATCCAGTCCAGCAGATTGCCGGTGTTTACGAAGACGGCGGATGCGGTAGGTGAACCAGCGTCGAATACGCTGGGAGACGAGACATTGAGAGAGGAAGTCACAAGCGTGATCATGTCACATACCGCATTGAGCTCCTTAACTCGCTTTCGTTTCTCGACGTGCTCGTCGTCCGTCAAAATCTCCTTGGCTGGTAGAGGCGCAGCTGGGTCCCAATCATCAAGAACCGGCTCTTCGTGATCCGGCGTCCTCCAATCGATGCGCGCATGAAACTCTTTGCAAACCTTCTTCAAGAAAGCTCTCTCTTCACTCCAGCCTGCGTCCAGTGCGGCAGTATAACGGTCCAGGTGAGGAGATAGAATCGACTCGCGAACTCCCTCTGCCCATAATCGCAAATTTTTTCGCGCTCCTTTGGGGACTCGCTTTCGTTCACGTTTCTGCCGGCCCATTCTTGTCTATCGAAAACCTCAGCGTCTCAAAATATGTTCACCTCAGGGCGCCGACACACGTACCACAGTCTCTTGTCTCTCTGCACTGCCGACCAGATTTTGTTTGGTTACAACCTCGGTGAGTGTGACTATGCTTGTTTATTTCAGTTATTCTGCGTTGTTTATGCATGCGCGCCACAGATCTCGCCAGATCCACTCCTCCTCATGGGACGATCACCAGCGGAGTCCCAATTCCGTTGCCCAGCCTATAAAGGCACGGGCGACTCCACTTACGGATCTACCTCCCTCTTTCCTACCACCATGACCCACATCCCTGCTCCCGCTGCTTCTGGCACAGCGCCTGCTGTCCCAGTAGCGGCAAACGGTTCCAGCGCCGACGGTAAGCATCTGTCTCAGCCATCCACTCTATCCTGAGTACTCATACACCCCAGCGAACACCGTCGCCGCCATCCAATTGCTCACTGCCGCTGTCGCATCGCTTGCGCAGGCCCAAGGTCATTTTTTTTACAAAATCTTCAGTCTAACTGTCTCACAGTCCGCGTCTCCCTGTAGCTCCTGCCACCGCTGTCGACAGCCCCGCCGAAGCTTCGTCTTCGCCAGATCTGGTCCCCGCCATCCACACGCCGCCGGCCTCCTCTGTACCCGTTACCCCCGCGGCGCCCGCCCAGTTTCACACCCACGGTCCTTGGGTTGTGAAGAACCTCTACATTGTGGTCCCCACCTCACCGATGATGGCCATCGTCGAAGACGATGAGGAAGGCAAGCTTTGGTATGCCATCACGCGGGGCCGTTTCGTCGGCATCACTCTGAGCAGCGCCCTCGCGACCAACTCGACCACCAGGGTCCCCGCCGGTACCCAGAAGGGCTTCAAGACGCAGGCCGCGGCCGTCGCAGCCTTCAACGAATTGCTCGGCTTCAATATGGTGTCCGTCGTCGCCCCTTGATTGTGAGTCTTGTGGCGCGTTTCTTATTCGCCAAGCACGGGCTTATCATTATTACATTGCTTCAGGTGTTTTTTCCGGGTCTTGTCGCGTAGTTTACAGTCTCCGTCGCGTAGTATTTGTAGTTTGTAAATTTGTGACTGCCAAATATACGGCCGAATCGGGAACGGCACAGCCTGCGTCGAATTGATTCTTCCGTTCTTCCGTGCTTCTACTTCGATCAATCTATATCGGGATGAGATCTCATGTGAGTAAACTGCAGCCTGTCCCAATTGGGACCATCTTTTCTTCCACACACCACATCAAGGCGCAGATCACACTGCGTGCGTGTGCCCAGTTACGACCGGCTTTTTGCGGACCACAGCGGACAACCTCCCGGCTTGCAATAACTGCCACTCTCAAGCACACTTCTCAGCTATGTAGCGTTCCCTGAGGCTTTCCTCGTCCTGCCAACCGACAACCATGATGGTACGAGCCACCCACCCATGCACTTCTTACCAGACGCGCGTGCGTATCGTCGCACCATCACAAACATATGGTGTTCTGATGACCGTTCTGATAGATTCTCCTTCCTCCCATTGCTTCCGATATTGTCCTTGATCTTGCAGTGGACTGGTGTCGCAAGTGGCGCCTTTCTCTTCTCTCCATGACCGGATCCGACTCCTCTGGGGACTACGACAACCCCGACCTTCTCGAGCTCATCGCACGTCTCAATATTCGAGACGACGAACACCCCCACCCGCGTCCTCGCACTCCACCGCGTCCTCGCATTCCACCGCGTCTCCGTACTCCACCACGTCCCCGCACTCCACCATCCACTGCAGCAGCACAGCCGCCACCGTATACGCCACAAAATCGACCTCACACCGTCTCTCGACCCAGAACTGTTCCTCACGTCCACGCTGTTCCTCGCATCCACGCTGGCACCGGCGAAACGATTTATTCTATTGATTCACCCCGTCTTACTTCGACATCTGGTCCAGTCTACACGAGGGAGTGGTACGTTCCATCTCCCGCCCTCTTTCCCCCGCTTGAACAAAGCTACCCAGGTCCATCGCTGGCAACGCGACTCAGGCGGTACCCGGTGGCCGTGTTCACGTCGTCGCACGCGGCACACCCAGCAAGAAGTCGCGGGGCCCAAAAAAAGTAGCGTTCGTCGTGTTCTGCGGCAT